TGTGGTTGAAAATGAGTTTTAAAAGCGTACAATTTTGAAAAAATAGAGTCCAAACAAGGATTTAATCTTTTGAGATTTTTCCACTATAGCTCTCTTACCCTAGATCGCTTTCTTGAATAACGTGCTCAAATACTCTCTCTCGAAATCCCTTGTAATTCTATATTTACTCTGTGATTTTCCATGCACAATTCTTGTGTAGATATTGGGACTTTAGGGTCCGTTTGATTGCAAATGTGAAAAATAGGTGGAAAGAAAATGTTTTACAGAAAATTGAATTGTCTAGAAATTATTTTACTGAAAATTGTAATTAATTGTGTTTAATTGGTATAATTTTCTACTTGAAAAATGTTGAAAGTTTGATATCCGTTTAGCTTCATTTTTATGAAAATTGTCCATTAAAGTGATAATTTTTTTCTACTATTGAGTCTAGAATTTGTTTCAATTACAAATAAAAAAAAATTGAAAAAAAAATTACTATACCGAATACCGTTCGTTTGACTTTGTTTTACATGAAAATTGTCAATAAAAGTGAAATTTTTTTTATCATTGTATCTAAAATTTTTTCCAATTGTAAAAATAATAAAAAAAAGCCTAAGAACCTGAAAAATNGTTTCAATTACAAATAAAAAAAAAATTGAAAAAAAAATTACTATACCGAATACCATTCGTTTGACTTTGTTTTGCATGAAAATTGTCAATAAAAGTGAAATTTTTTTTATCATTGTATCTAAAATTTTTTCCAATTGTAAAAATAATAAAAAAAAGCCTAAGAACCTGAAAAATCAATTCCAGCCAAAACAATAAGAAATGTTTTCCTCCAAAAGCTGAAAAATGTGGAAAGGTGAAAAAAAATTTCCGGGGAAAATTTTGTTATCAAACAGGTGCAAAAATTAGAAAATGAAAAATTGCATTGAAAATCATGGCTATCAAATGGGACCTTAGGGTTAAACCCACAAATGACCACCTAACTTTATATACAGTGTCACGATGGTTACCAAAATTGATTTTTGTTTCACAATGGTTACCCAACTTTATATTTAGTATTACCATAACCATTCAATTTGATTACCAAATTTCATATAACGTTTCACTATGATCACCTAATTTCATATAATATTTCACCATAACCACCCAATTTCTTTTACCATGCTCACTAATTTTAAAATGGGTAAAGCAATAACTTTGTATTATATATAAAAAAAAAATCTAAAAAAGTTATTTTTTAATTTTAAAAACATTTATTTCAAAATAAGTTGTTATTATTTTTTTAAAATGAGTTTTTATGTTAATTTTTTTATATATATAATGCAAAGTTACAGTTTAATCTTTTTTAATATTAGTGGAAATGGTGAAAAGAAGTTAGGTGGTCAATGTGAAACGTTATATGAAATTGAGTAGTTATGGTAAAATAAAATCAAATTGGGTGATCATGATGACACTAAGTATAAAGTGAAGTAGCCATTGGTAGATTTAACCTGTCACTTTATGTAACTAGATAGATTGTAATGAGAAGTTTACTTCGATGGTTGCTTAGTTCAAATCAGATGGATACAAGTCCAATATATTGAGGATCGATCCAAACTCTACATTAGTTTCTAGTGCTTGTTTAGGTGAATGTATACTATTCATAATGAGATCATATTTTTCGCTCTCACCAACATTCAGGCATAAAGTGATAGGTGAAGGATGAGACGGCACGTGGAGTTAGATGTTGAAAAGATTATTCTATTTTCCAATTTTACATTTATGTTTGCACGTTCATATCTGTTCTGCACGTTATTGCTTCTGTTATCTGCACACTACTTTGTTAAGTTGTTATGGGCTTTTGCATGCCTATTTAAACCTCATGAACATGAATGAAGAGTGAGAAAAATTCAATCATCAACATTGGTTGATCTTTCACCAAAACAAAGTTAACTTATTTTTCTACTATTGACCAGCAAGCTTCTAACTGGGACCTATCAT